TAGCTGAATATAGAGGAAACATCTGTGGGTGAGAGTACACACTTTTAATGACACTGAACACAATCTTTCAACCCTTACTTATGCAAGTTCTCCCATTAAAGTCCATTGGGGCTACTCATGTGAGGGTTGCTGAATCAAGGCCACTGTTTGCAAACCCTCCAGACTCAAAACTGTGCATCAGTGCAACCTCATTTTCTTCTATGTACAAACTAGTATCTTACATTTTGCCTATTATGTTAAAATGCAAATATAAAATTTCAATGCACAATATTCTTACTCATGTTTGTATGCACAAGTTTTGCTCGTGTCTTATGTTCACTTGTTCCAATTGCTTGTCTGCATACTTTAATAAAGCACTTTACTCCTGACATCATGATCAAATGATACCAAAATTCCCTATTTCTGCTACCATACCAATGGCTTGAAAAGTTTACCCAACATATACTACTCTGAACACTAACCCTACTAACCAGCATGATCAGTATGTGGACTATCATGGCCCTACTGCTCCAAACAGCTCCTCAACGCCACACCACCTTCAATTTAAAGGAATAAAACAGCTGCGTAAAGTATTTAATAACATTGTTAAACAATTGTAACTTACTACATCGTGTCTTGCTTTTGTTATTCCTTCTTTCCCTTTCTGCTTCACTCTACTTTTTCTTTCCTCCAATATCCATTGTGGTGCATCTTTCCTTACATTGTCTTCATTGTGTGCTTTTCTCTTTTTCTACTCTGACCCTCAACCCATTTATGTCTCTATTTTCCCTACACTGTATTCACCATCTCCTCCCCTATATTTTCTCTCTCCTTTCTTCTCCCAGAATATCAATTCTGAAATCACATTTTTTAAACTTATATAATCTCTCTCTCTCCCACCTACTTCCATCTCCATATTCTACATCGACACATTTCACATACTGAAAATTTTCCCAGTATACACCAGTGCACTGAATCTACATTAAAGGTTTGCACTTGTGCAGCTACATCAATATAGTTACACTAAAAATCCCCAGTTAAGGCCTTGTCTACTCAGAGGGGTTAATTCACACTGAGTTTGTGCACACTAAAGCCCAAAAACTGTTACAATGCTCAGTTGGTAATACAACCTCTACCACCCAGACGCTAGGAAAAGTATGTGAATTCTTACTGGGGTGCTATCCTAGAGTGTTGATCTGTGGATATAATATAATGAAAGATGAAGGAGTTTACCCTATTAATCATGAAAACACAGCTAAAATTTGAACACACCTTAGAAACACTATTATTCCGGAGGCTGTTTTGATGTAGGCCAACTTACTCCATTATAAGAGTAAGTAAAAATAAGGCCAAATGTTATTCTTACAAAAAACAGATGAAAAGAAAAATTCCTAATGAAGTAAAACTGTACAAGGTTCTTCACTATAACTTTTGAGACCATAAACCAAATTAGTTACAAATACAGATGGACACCATTCTCACAGTACAACTTACATTAATATTGTACAGTCATTAAGGAAAGGAAAATGTATGTCAGAAAAAATAAATGTCCAGAAAAAAAATTAAGCATGCTGTTTTCAGATGGTAAATTACATAATTGGATGCTATGTTTCCATTTTACATAAGATGCAATCTTTAATATTTAAATTGATATTCCTAGAATAGCTAAAACAATTCTCTCAGATGCTCTGCAATTCAAGAAGCATCTCTTAGAGAATGTCATTGTGCATGAGACTTATTGCTGATTCTGTTAATACAAAGGGATACATGCAATATATTAGAGAACAAAAGTGGGCCCTCTGATAGCATTAAAAATTCTAGCTGTGGAAAACTGTAGAAGACATTGTTGGAATTTCAAGGCAATTCACTAAGATGTAATTAGGATTCTGTTAAATATGTGAATAAGTAATAGAATCATAAAAATGTAGTACCAGAAGGGAGAGCTCCCTAGTCCAACTCCCTGTGCAGAGGCAGGACTTTGTATACCCACACCACCCCTTACAGACGTTTGCCTAAACTGTTCTTAAAAACCTCCAATGACTGGGATTCCACCCTTGGAAACCTATTCCAGTACTTACCTATCCTTATAGTTAGAAAGGTTTTCCAATATACCTAAGTCTCTCTTGCTGCAGATTAAGGCCATTATTTCTTGTCCTACCTTCAGTGGACATGGAGAAGAAAAGGTTAGTCACCCCATTCAGTAACTGTGGTTCTTTGAGATGTGTCCCTACATGTGCTCCACTTCAGGTCCACATGCACTCCACGTTCCTTCAATAAGATATTTTCATTAGCAGTATTCATTCAGCCCATGCATATGCCCTAAGCAGCCCTGTGCCCCACATCAAGGCGATACAGGGCTGCAGTGGCAAACTGTCTTCAGTTCCCTCTCTATCGCAAAGTGCCACAAAAACTCCAAAACAGGTAGCTGAGCACCCAGAGGGGGACAAATCTCAAAGAACCATAGTTACTGCACAGGGTGAGTAACCTTTTCTTCTTCTTGGAGTAGCCTCCCTGTGGGCATTCCACTTCAGGTGACTTCCAAGCAGTATCCTCACAGGACAGAGGGAGCTTCAAGAATGGATCCACAACTGAAGACAGAACCACACTGCCAACTGTTGTATCAGATCTAGAAGCATAGACCAAGGCATAGTGCTTAGAGGAGGAATGCATTGAAGATCACACAGTTGTTCTACAGACCTCAGATACTGAAATTTCTTTCAATTAATGAGAAAATGTTAACTGTAACCTTGTAGAGCACGCCAACACCCTAGAATGAGGCTGAATGCTGATAGCATCATAGCATGTAATAATATACCCAGAGACCCACCTCAGTAGCCTCAGGGTGGAGGCTGTGGATTCTTTAAATCGGTCTAATAGAAACAAACATCCTAGGAAACCTCTCAAGCAGTTTGGTCCTATCAGCATAGAAGGCCAATTCTCATCTGACATCTAAGGTATAAAAGGGAACCTCCTGTAGCGAATTATGGGGAGAGGGGGGGGGAGAGAAGGGCGAGAGAAGAGAGACAAATAAATGGATGGATTATGATGAAACTTGGATGAGAGCTTGGGAGGAATTTAGGGAGCAGACATAAGGAAACCGTGTCATTTAAGAATATCATGAAAGAAGGATCTTTCCATTAAGTCTCAAATGTTTCCGACTCTTCAGGCTAACATTATGGCTACCAAAAAGGCCGTATTCATACATAGGATAAGTAAGAAGTAGGTCACCACTGGTTCAACGCGAGGTCCTTTGAGACATCTAAGAATTAGACTGATATCCCAAGCCGCAGTGGGGGTCTTTCACTTGAGGGAATGAAAGGTTGTTATGGTAGCCAAGTGAACCCTGACTGAGCTGACTGATAATGCAATTTTCTTTAGTTACAGCAGGTAATCCAGGATAGCGGAGAGTGAGGAAAATCAATTTTGGAGTCCTTGGAGTTGACACTGATGGCTAAATCATTTCCATTTTTGAACGTAAGTACTTTGAGGTGATTCTTTCCTACCACCTATTTTATCTCCACAGAACTTGCAGACTAACCCTGCAAACCACTGAGAAACCATGCCCTGAGGCAGAGAACTCCTAGGTTGGGATGAAGCAATCAACTGGCATCTTGGGGGAGTAGATGGGTGATGATCGGAAACTTGATTGTTGGACAGGCGAAACAGACAGATACCAAGCTTGTTTCTGCCATGTTGGGACTATTAGAATAACCCTAGCTTTGTCCTGGCTGATTCTGTTCATCACCCTCAGTACAGAGGTGTTGGAGTACATGTACAGAACAGGTTCTTTGTCCAGGGTAGGAGAAAGCCATCCCTTAGAGAATAATGGCCTAGACCGCCGCTCCTAAGCAAATCTGACGACACTTTCTGTTCACAGAGGGGACAAAGAGGTCCACTTCTGGAAATCCCCAAGTTTGAAATATGCCTTGGAGGGTCCAAGAGTCCAGCTCCAACTCACAATGCTTGGAGAAGTGCCTGTTGAAAGTATTGGCTGTGGTATTTGGAAGGCAAGGGAGCTAGATTGCTGAAATTCATATATGATGGATTAGGCACCAGTTCCACAACTTGATTGCTTCAGTGCCAGAGAGGGGTATCTCACTCCTCCTTGCCAGCTGATAAACAAGTAGGCCACCTTGTTGGTAATGACCCTGATTGGACTTGTCCCTGAAGAGAGGCAGAAAATGAAGGCAGGCATTCCTGACTCCCCAGAGTTCCAACACATTGCTATGGAGACTGGTTTCTTGAGGCAACCATCTGCCTGAATTGTATAAGCATTGACATGAGCTCTCCATCTTTACAGGAATGTATCTGGCATTATTGTTGGGATTGATTGGAGAATAGGAATGCCTGCACTGACGCTGTCATGATCTTTCCACCAGTCTAGGAAATCTTTTACTTGGTGGGGAACTGAAACCTGTTTGTCTAAGCTGTGTCTGTTTGGTGAGTAGACTGCTTCTAGGAGTGGCTCAGATCAACAAAGGCCTTAACCTTTTTTTTTTTAAATTCAGATCATGCAAGAAGTGCAAGCTGCCATGTGACCTAGAAGTTGGAGGCAGTTTCTCACTGAGGTTTGAGGGCTCCCTTCAGTAGTTCTGACTAGATATGATATGGTTATGAATCGGTCCACAGGAAAGCAGGCCCTGGCGATCAACAAACCCAAGAACCCCCCTACGAACTGTATTTTTTGTACAGGGGTCAATGTGGATTTTTTTACATTGAGTTGAAGACCCAATTCCAGGAACTGAGAAAGGGCCTTCTGTGTGGATGACAGTACTGCTTCATAAGACTGACCCTTGAACAGCCAATCATTGAGGTACAGGAATACTAAAATCACCTCACAACTTTGAAACCTTTGAAAACACTCTCCGTGGCAAGGGGCACACCCAGTATTGCAAATGATCCTGGCCTATAACAAAATGCAGTTATTTTCTGTGAGATGGGCGTTATCGCTTTATGGAAATATGCATCTTGTAGGTTGAGAGATGAAAACCAATTCCCTTAATTCAGTGAAGGAATTATACCTGCCAGAGTCACCATCCTGAACTTCTGAGACTTCACAAATTTGTTGAGTAGCCTTAAGTCTAAAAATCAGTCTCCACCCTCCATTTTTCTTTGGTACAATGAAGTATCTTGAATACAAATCCTCTTTCTTGTGTTCAGCGAGAACAGGCTCTATTGCTCCTAAACAAAGAAGGGAAGTTTATTTCCTGTCTCAGTAAGAGAAACAGGTAACATTTTTAACAACTACATTTTGACCCAACTGTTGAGCAGAAGGCCATACACATGAAAGTCTCATCTGTAGTGCAGAGCTTCACTGGTGGATCATACATGATCCCAGCATAAGTTCTGGGTGCTCCTACATTTGTGTAGTCTAAACAATTCAGCTTTTTTGTCAACAATGTGCATCCAACAATTTAAAATCATTGCACGGCACCGAGCTCACATAAAATTAGCATTTACTTTCATAAGAACATACAGGGATTTTACATCGGCAGTAGTGCAAGACATTTTGGCTAGATGTCAAAAACAATTTGTTTCATAAACACACATGTACACACTTAACCGGTACTTTCTTATAACAATAAATATGAAATGTGTACCTTTACCCCAGGTTCTCAATTTATGTACTTGTATCAGTAATTTTAGATGCTTGTTTAGAAATGCCATTTATCCAATCCATTTGAATTACGTCAGACAGCACTAAGATTCAGCACAGATATTTTAATTGTCCATAGACATGTTTTGCTTTGGATTTTCTTGATCGCTATAAACAGGAAATGGACAGTGTCTTCCCCTTGTGATATGTTTTGGGAGCTATTGAAATATAAATAGGAGCAAGAATACTTTTTCCTCTTTTCATGAAGAATTACCATTTCAAGAAATAAAAACCCATAGAACTTGTCTTTTCACTTGGGCCCATGATCTCTCAGCCCACTGAGTCCAAGCACACAAGGATCTGGCCACCTTCAACTCCTCCTAACCTGAACAGGAACTGAGAGAGGTGGTGCCTGACATTTTGCAGAATGAGGCCATTTGTATCTATTTAAAAAGGACAGATTCTAAGAAACCTACAAACATATTCATTTCAATGCCAGGCAGGAAAACAGATGTTTAATAAAAATTAGCAAATAAATTAGAACAATTATTTTTAGAATTTCACAAAATGTAATTCTATTGTTACCCACTGGCTGAGTTATATCATAATAAATGGCATGGGCACAAAAGAGAGACTTCCATATGTTCCAGCCCAACTATAAGAACCTATTTCTGGTTTTCTGTTTCCACTGTCAAATTGCACATATGCTGGCACCACTGCAGCTATAGAATCCCTTTAGCAGCTCAATTCCCCCATCCACTTGCCTGCCTCTCCTACTCCACCCTCTGTTCCAATTCTCTCAACCACCCCACTACTGCTATATCCACCCACCACCTTCTTTAGAAAGCTCCTAAGATACTATTGATATATTCCTCCTTTCAGTAATTGAATAGGGTTTTTATTATATGTATTTTAAACAAAAACAAAGGGCATCACTAACATTGCTGCCTAACAGGCTCAACCCTGCATAGTTTTCAATGAAGAAATCTGTAAGATCTAGAATCTAAAAGATCTAGTAATTTTAATAGGTTGATAGGGAATAGAGTTCATTTTCTGGACATATGCTATGACATAAATCCTGTTTTCCAGTATCTTGTGTCTCAAAAATAAAAAACAGTTCTCTGAAAATGTTCATTCTGAAAGCTTATATTAATAAGGTTAAATTTTAAGTCTATTTCAACTCATGTTAGAATTAAAAACACCATTTGCTCTTAGTGCAGGTGAACATTTGCTGTAAGTACTATTTTGGTTATGAACTACACAGTCTATACTTAACCATCTGGTGTATTACCTGAGCATGTTGAATTTTTCTTAATTTCCTGTAAACATTCAAAAATTTTTGCAAATAATTATTATAATTACTCTCTTTCTCCTGCTTCCCCCCAACACCAGAAACGAAAGACTGTTTGTTTTAATATACATATTAATCTCAATTAACCTCTCACTCTCAATTCAATACAGGCACAAGTGCACTCATTTAGACTCCTATCTACCCAACTACAAATCAGGTAGTTAAGGATGTAAAAAGGTATCATTACAGACCTAATTAGTTGTGCCTGCATTTAACTGGATCAGTAATATTGAAAGCTGGATTGAGACTAACTGAAAAGTTTTTGTCTTTCAGTTGTTTGATAGTCCATCATGATCAATCAGTAAGTAATATGGTCCCAATCCTACAAATGCTTATACATATGCTGAAAGTTAAGCATATCTGTAATTATTTGCAGGATATGGACATGTTTACTGTGATATGCAAGGAGTTATGTATGAGAACACAACCCCTTTGTGTTTCTGTACATTTGATACACACAAGTTTCTTTGAATGGATTTCAGGCTCCACACTCATCCCATTACACAGTTCAACTCAATTATCCTGTTGAAAGCCATTTACCTTTAGTTAAATCGCTCCTTATTTCCTCTATGTACTTTTATTGATTTTTAATAAAGTAACAATTCAACAGTGCATTGAAAGTATCAGAATCCGGATACTACTATAGTATTTTACCAGTACACTAGAGATGCATATAATTTGATCATTGTTAACATTTTAACATCTGTTTCCAGAATGAGTAATCGTATCAGCATTCTTTCACATAGCTCTAACCGCCAATGAGAATCAATGTAGTATTCTTAGGTTGTGCTTGGGAATGTTCTTAGAAATTCGCTTGTCCTGTACATGGATTTCTTTTTAAAATTAAAGAAAAAGGATGCACAGGCATCCATTTAATTCTCTCATTTGTTAAGACAATACTGTTTCATTGCTTCATTCAAGCATTACCGAACTGCTAGCCACTGACAAAGGCACCAAAAAAGGTTGGAGTGGCTGTCTTCTATTTATTTCTACAAGAAATCCATTTTTATTAGTCGTGTTAAACATGAATTGGCTAGGAATCATTCCAGAAAATTCATAACAGACTTATTTCAGAGTAACAGCCGTGTTAGTCTGTATCCGCAAAAAGAAGAACAGGAGTACTCTAAGGTGCCACAAGTACTCCTGTTCTTCTTATAACAGACTTATAAACTTATATGTTGCTGCTTTTCCTTTCACTTTCAGAATTGTGCAAATGTGAAGTAACCATCTTACAGCTGAGCAATACTTTCTGTTCACTTTTAGAAATGGAAAGTGGCACAAAAGCCTTCCAACTTGAGTTGCACTTGCTATGAGAAGTAAAGAGCACTGATCATTTATGAGATGGTTCATTACCAGGTTTGACATCTAAGGTAAAAGCACTTTTAAGATTACAGTAAAACTTGTGGGATGTTAAAGTATTTCTGAATGTAGTCGCACAGATAGAATGTACAAGTGAATATATAACGAAGATCATAGAATCATTTGATACGATCCAAATGGTACCCGTGGGTCACTCCCAATCTCTAGTATCAGAAGGGCCAATACCAAATTTTACTTTCAGTAAACGTACATTAAGGAGAGACAGCATGCCCCAGTGCCTAGGCGCTAGACTGGAAGTCAAGATATCAGGACTCTATTCACAGCTTTGTCACTGACTCCCTTTGCGAACTTGGGCAAGTCATTTCCACATTCTGCATCTCAGTTTCCTTCCCCTGGAAACTGAGACAATGCTGAGCCAGCTTTGGGCTAAGCTTGGATATCTACAGAGGAAGAGTTCAATATATGTCTCAAGTATTCTTATCTAACTTTGTGGTGTAAACATCTAATGTTTGAGTAGCAAGGGAAAGTTATTTACCTTACAATTCTGCTTCTTTGAAGATATAATCACTCAGATCCCTATTTTTAGATCACAAAACTCCAGTGGAAGACAGGTTGGGAACTCCCCTTGTTCTTCAATTTTTGAGGGATTTTTAGTTGGGCCCCGTCCCTCCCATAACCCATTCAATCATGGTCCATTTAAACTACCAGTACCCCACCGCACTAACATTTTCAGTCAGCTCCCGAGGTATCTCCGCCATCATGACACAGGGAGACAGTCTATGATGTGTCAAGAATACAGAGTTTTATAGATTAACACATATCTTGAATTACACCCAGAAAAAGCTACCAAGTCAGTGCACTGAATATAATATAGAAGTGATGTACCCATTTCATTAGATCAGTAGTTCTCAACCCAGGGCCCACGGGCTGCTTGCCGCCCAATCAGCACACAGTTGAGGCCCTTCTGACATCCTCAGGGCCATAAAAGTAGTATACATACTGTGTGGATGCAGCGCACATAACACAGAGAACTGTGAAGGTTGAAGCCCAAGCCCGAACATCTACACTGCAATTAAACATCCTTAGACCGAGCCCAAGTCCGCTGGCACAGGCCAGCTGTGGGTGTCTAACAGCAGTGTAGACATACCCTAAGACTCACTGACAGGAGGAATGTAGGAGTGGCAGTGTAGACATACCGTAAATATATTATATCTATGCAGTTCCCTTTATCAACCAAACCTGATCCTCCTCATTGGAGATATGGCAACATTGAATGAGAAACTCTCTTAACCCCTATACACAGATTCTGCTCCTCCCTCATATGAAGCTAATTGAAGTCTATGGATTTGTGTTTTATGGAACACACGATACAAGTAAGTATTTCATCATATATTGAAGTTTCTATCAGAGTGTCACCTAAACAGGCTCTAAACAGGATTAGACAAAATGGTGGTAAAAATGCCACTGGCCGCAGAAGCCCTGCCTATACTACATTTCCCCATGGGAAGGGCTAAATCAGTGAACCCATAGTGGGAAATGTTAAGAAAAAGTCTAGTGTAGAGACAGCCTTAGAACCAGCTACTGAGCTCAGACTAATCTGAGTTATACTTGTGTAAATGAGATTAAAATCCATCATTTAAATTTTATGCTAAGATTTTTCAATTAAAAAATGTATTTGAACATATTTAATATTTTGACAGTTGTCTAATATCCTGCAACTTTATACCTCAAGACAGTGCATAATACACCAACGTATATGTCTGTAAGGGATTAGGAGATATTTATCTTCATTTGTCTACCATAAAAGCAAAAGATCAATAACCTTAGAAGAAACTTATAGCCTAGATATACCGTAAGCTAAATAAAAAGTTACTAGAAGTGTGCCACCACCGTGGTTTTTCCCCTGTTATGGAACCCAGACCTAAATAAACTGTTAAACACTTAGTGTAAAGGTATGCCAAACATTTCTCAGAACTTTCTTAAGGTCCCAACAAAGACTCAACCTTTTCTGCAAAATGAGGCCTAGGTTAAATATTTTATTTGGCTCCTTAAGATGGACTGAGAAGTTGGGCATGAGCTCCAGATCAGTTCTTGGACTCGCATCAAACACTATCCTGTCATTTATCCAGTCAGTCAAAACAACGTTTTCCATCTAAACCTTTAATGTTTATGTCCTGAAAAACTGCTAATTGAATCCAGTTCCTGAAATCCATTTTTAGAATATATACCATCCAGTTTAAAGATAATGAACAAAAAAAAAGTAAATATTACACACTGATTACAGAATTAATCCTATCAATGTTCAAGCCAAAACAGAAGACAAGACCGCTAGTTTCATAAAGCCAAAGAAAATTAAGATTAAATAACATTTGTCAGATTTAGAGAGCAAATTACTTTAAAAAACACTGGAATATAAGGATTTTGATTCCAAACAATTTTAGCATTCAAGAGTTCTCAGACTGCTTTTCCAATCAAAATGGGTAATCAAAACCACACAGAGTACTCCAGACTATTCCCAAGCAAGAACTGACATCAGTTCAATTAATAAAATTCAATTCACCACTTATACCAACTTTCCTTAAGCATGTAAAACTTCCTTATAACAACTGACCTTGCGTGTAAATCACTTACAATTAATGAAAGCACAAAATACCTCAACATATCAGATGTATATTAAGAAACAGACAGATGCCTCATGCAAATCTCTGAAAATCAGAGTTGCTCAGTACCAATTCCAAACAGTTATTGAGATTACAAGATTCTTTCTGAAGACAACTTTGTGTGTATTTTCTTTTCAGTATTTCTCTTCCCATATTTTATTAGCAAGGACATATGCTCAAAAATAGTATACTTGTTTCTAAAGAATATACATGCCTTTTCTTGGGATTGAATGCATCATAATTGTACACTTTACTAAAATTCAATAAATAACTGGAAAAAAAAAATCTACCCGTGCTGTTTATTTCTTCATCACAATCATAACCCTCTGCAATGTACCTATGTACATTATGTCATAGACAGAACATTATGTCCCTAGATCTTTAATAAAGGGAAGAGAAATCCAGAGGTGAAAAAGGACAATTCCTTAAACAGGTTTTTGTTCGCAGTTTTCCATTAAGCCACAGCAGATTTATAAAGTTTTTAAAAGATTGCTTTTCTGATAGTGCTCAGAGAAACTAAGCTATCAGCCAGAGACCCAAAAGTGCAGAACAGTATTTTAAAAACTAATATTGTCCCACACATCAGCCCAGCTACCCTCATCTCAAAAGTTTATTTCTAAGGCGTTCAGCACATGGGCACTATAATGGCCCTGCATAAAAACCCCTTTTACAAGATCAGTCCAAATAAGTTCCAAAATATAATGTAAGCAATTATAAGTAATTATAAGAAAAAAATCTACAGTAGTCTAGAAAATAAAGTCATTTTTTCTACCTACTCAGAATTATTTTAAAAAGTTAAATGCAGTAACTTTAAGAATTTTTTTGCATTAGCAGTTAAACTGGAAATTCTGCACATGCCATTAAAATTACATAATTTCAAAAACGCAGTGACTATTTTTAGACTTTTTTAAAACAACTAATTTATTTTGCAAAGCACAGCCATTAAGTTGGTTCAATAAGCTGCTGGAAGACAAACAGTATTTTAAATTTTTATTTTAAATCTTGTATTTTCATGTACTGAGGTCACAATTTAGGGTACAAAATGTGTTTTTTAAATTCAGTCTTTTCTCGCAAGTCTTCAGGAATTATTTTACAGAGGCAGACAAGCTTTATCCATATTTATAAACGTTTCTCCATTTTTATCTTTTTACATTGCCCTCATCACTACAAAAAAAGTACATTCCAAGTATTTAGAAACAGAAATAATGTCTTTCTTCCTTCCCAGCATGTAGACTGAAATAGTTTACTTTTATGTATACAATATACATAAATATTGTTAAAGGCCAAGTTTTTTTAAAAAAGGTATTTTTCCTACAGAAGGAGAAACAACAGCCAACGAATTGTTTACAATCTCAACTAAGGAAGCTGACTTGAAAACAGCAACACAAAAGATCAAAACAAAGGGGACAAAGGGCCTGATAGTTTGTTTCACGATTACACAGAAAAGACGGTCTGAGAGGGTGAGAAACAACCTAAGGTACCTAGCGCCTAAAAAGTTACAATGGCCTCCTGCTCGCCCCCCCTTCCCTAAAAAATACAACTATTCCAAAAAGAGCTCCAGCATGTTACAGACTTCGTGCAATAATTCTAGTGAACTCAGGTTTATTCTGGATTCTGAATACAGGCAGGCGGAGAGCACCAATACCTCCACCCCACCACACACACACTGCCCAGGGCTTCACCTCTCCTAACCAAGGCGTGTTTATTACTTGGAGTAAACAATCCGGTTTGATAATCGATGCCACTACAACGCTGTGCAAAGACGTTTCCTTCGTGGCACACGGACCCCTTAGCAACCCGCCCCCTGCAGCGGAGCACTGGGGGAGGGGGGTGTTGGGAGAGAGTTTACTTTTTCCTGAGGCCTGAGTCTCCAAGCCCCAGGTTCAATCTCAAATACACATGGAGGGAGCTCGATCCCACCGCTCCAGCTGGGCTTGCTGCTTGCGGGGTTTAGAAAACGGAGAAAGGGGCTTCCCCCAGTATCTCCCTTGCCTTTCACCCCCCCACACCCCCAACCTAACAGCCACACTCCTCCTCGCCCCACACACCGCCCGCCCCCCCAAACCAGACCTTCCCTTCCCCCATCTACTCCCCACCTTCGCCTGCCTCCCCACAACAGCTCCCGCCCCCCAACTCGGCCCCTACCCTCCTGAACCATCCCCCCTTCTCCCCGAAGCAGCCCCGTACCCCCCAAACCAGGCTCCCCCCCCGCCACCTACCCCCTTCCCGTCTCCTCACAAAGCCCCGGCTCTTGGCCCCCGGCCCCCCTCTCCGCCTTCCCACGGCGGAGCAGACCCGCTCGGCGGGCCCCAGGCTCGGTCCCGGGGGGCTCCCCGACCCCTCCTCACCTGTCAGTCGCAGCTTGACGGGCCCGTTCCTCCGGGCCCCCTGGTTGGACATGTCCCCGGCCGCTGCTGGGGCTCGGCGCTGCCTTCGCCGGGGCTGCCCCTGCCTCTGGGGCCGGGCAGGAAGGGGGGACGCGCTAATGGAGTCGGGCTGGGCGCTCAGGGAAGCAGCGGCGGCGGCGGCCGCCGGACGAGGAGAAGCCCGGATGTGCCCAGCGTCGCCATAAGCGGGGCCAGCGCCGAGGAGGAGGCGGCGCCGCCACCGCCGCCTTCCCCCGCCCCCTGCCCGGGGCCCTGGCGGCGAGCACAACAAAGCCCGGGACAGCGCGTACCGCGGCGGCCGGCCGCCTCCCTTCCTCCGGGACTGGGCCTGGTACCAGCTTAGCCCCCAAGTGGGGAGGAAGCCCCCCGTGTCCCTGCAGCTTCCTTCCTGCCTCGCAGAAAAGCGCCCCTGTGCTCCCCTCAGTACCCCATGTCCTCACTACCCCCGGGGAGAAGGGGGTGTCAGCACCCCCTGTCACTGGGATGCCCACATGTCCTCACTACCCCTTGGGGAGGGGACTGCCTGCCCCCATAGCATTCCCCTTGCCCTTTGGGGATGCCCCCATATCGTCACTACCCTTTGGGGAGGGGGCTTCCTTCCCCTTAGCATTCCCCTTGCCCTTTGGGGATGCCCCCATGTCCTCACTACCCCATGGGGCTGCCTCCTCCCCACACACTACTGAGTATAGAGCTCCCTGTGTATCTTTAACTCCCCCCAGGGAAAAGCCCCCCTCACCTATCCCCTGCCATTGGGTGAGGGTACCCTTGTGGCTCCTCACTACCATCCATGGTGGATGGGACCCTTGTGTCTTCCTTTCTCCCTCAAGCTGGGCCCTCTCATCCCTTGCTTCCCACAGATGGGGCCCCTCTCACTGGGATGGTGTCCTTGTACCCCCATTTTCTGGGAATTATGCCCTCCTGTGTGTTTCTTCCCACCCCCTCCCAAATCTCACCCCTTCCTAAAGAAGACACCACCTTGCACTGTGGATGCTGTTCCTTTTGCCCCTAAATGTTGACCAAGGGAGACTGGTAACACTATGATGGGCAAAATAGCATCAAGTGTGACTAATAATTCCCACCCTGGAGTTGAAAGGCTCAGAGAAATGTAGGCGCAAATCATATTGTGAGTCAAGGGATAGAAAAAGGAGTAGGAAGTTAGTAGTAGCGGGTGGTGTGAAGATTTATGTATTGAAAAAAAAAGATTCAAAAGTAAAATAAGTTTATGGGATACAAATGTATAAGTAGATTGTGATACCTTTCTCACATCGAGTAGTACCCTGTTCCTGTTCCCCCAGTATGATGAGACTACTTGTGATGTAGGGTACTTTTCAGGATAAGGGTATCATTATCTAACCATGAAAACCATTACAACTCAGATAAATCCACCATTTATGTGTGATTTGGTTGCAGTAGAAAAGTGAGGGAAATTCCTGCACACACACTCTGAAATTCTCAAAAAAAAGATACAGATCCCGATTCTCAGTGTAACTCTTCTGTCTTCCAGATCCAATGGCAACTATTCCAGAGAATTCCAGGCCTTTCAACACACCCTCCACTACGGGCACTCCAAAGCAGCAAGAGGATTTAAGGAAGGGTATCTGTATCTTAATGAACAATCCAGCAATTACAGTAGAGGCTGGAGGGGCAACTTTCAAAAGTGCCCTACATTAATGAAAGACAATCCTGGAATCAACACAACTACACTGCATACCCTACATTAAATGAGAACGCTGTGTAGCTAAAAATGGGCAAGGTACTCCCACTTAAAATTATGAGTTTGAGATGCCATTGTAAAATTTCCATGAAGATTGAGATCGATAGGAAACTACTGGCTTTGTAAGCTGACTGCTAATTATATTTGATATTATTTCTGATGCTCACCCAGCTTATCTGATAGTTTCATTACATAGGTCCCATTCTGCTAAGGCATTTGGCACTAGAATACAAATTAAAACCTAATAATCAATATTAAAAAGCCAAACAAAAATTATATCCTCAGTACTTCTCACATACTTTCCTGCTAATTTTGTATTGCTTTGTACACCCATACAAGTTGAGGTCTCAATTATCTGGCTTAGTGCAAGAGACTCCAGCATATCTTTTCTGCTTCAATAACTATCTCCAGTGCAATAGTTGATTTGATTAGAAGACTACATTCTTGCCTTTAAGGTGAATGTTGTGGCTTTTTATTTTTAATTTGGTCCATTTAATAAACTATTGTTTTTCCATAGGGTTTCCTTCAGTACAACTCTATCATAGCACTGGGTTGTATTGGACCTAAAGAAACCACCCAGTTTTGGAGTCCCATACTATTCTTCCAGCTGAGAAGGACAGATGGCAGCACTCCCAGCCCAGGGTACGAGAAAATGGGATCAGAAATTGAATGTAGCAGGACTTCCACTGGGCTATCCATTATGTTAAACTAGTCTAATGTTTTTAATATTTCATTTCATTTTGTTTATTTTTAAAAGTACTATTGTAAGACTATATAGGGCAGAGAGGGAAGCTCATATTGACGTAATACCAGTGTATGACACCTACCTTTAAAATACAACCTTCAATTGATAACATGCTGTACAGCACTACACAGAAACTATATAAATGTTTATTAGCAGATAGAGCTGTCATATCTCTTCAGGGCAAAGATTGTGTCTTATAGGTTTGGACAATGCCTTGGACATTGTGCCACAATTCAATCAATTCAATGAACAATCTGTTTAAATCCACATAGGACCTTGCTATCTGCTGGATTTGATTTCAGAATCAAGTGATCATTAAAAAACAAACAAAATGGCTACTTGCTTTTATTTATGCACTACCTTGTAACATCTTGTAAAAACTGCAAGATCTTCCTAGGGAATATGTCCCTTGCAACTCCTTTTCAACACAGAATTCATGATCTGCTGTTCTCACTGTAAATGATTCTTGAACATGGCTTTTTGGTATGTCTGGGAATTGTGCAAGATCTTTTGGAAGAGCTTTTTAAGTCCTGGAGGGCTCCAAATATGCTATCTGTGGAATTACACATTGTACCGGGATATTGTAAGATGCTGCTTTCGACATAATTCTATTGGGTCATTGTGACCTCAGTAAAACCATTATGATTTTTCCATTTACACTGTTTGGGATGAGTGGTTCTCTATGTTATTAAAAATGTTATGAAAGGTGCATGTATAACAGCTACTTTTCAAAGTTAAATAACCAGACATTTTCTGAAACAAAAGAACATGGGCAGAGTTATTGCTTGAGAAATTCATTTTTTAAAGAAATATAAAAATAGGGGTTTTTTAAATTGGTCAAATATCTGAAAACACCACATTTTAACCTCTCTATTCAGACAACCCCGGTGTGATTTTTCACAGGTGCTGAGCATCTCTGTAAGGGCTTGATCCAAAGCCCACTGAAGTCAGTTGGCTTCTTTTCATTCACTTCAATGGGCTTTGGCTCAAGCCACTGGTTGTTAGCTTCAGCTCAGAACATACTGAAATTCTCTTGGATTATGCTTCAATGGGTTTCCACATATGCTCAAGGGTCAACAGTAGCAGATCCTAGTGCAGGATAGAAATCTAAGGCCCAGATCCACAAAGTTACTTAGGCATCTAAACACCAGTCTTAGGTCCCTAAATCCCAGTTTTGGCTCCATTGTGATCCACAAAACTCCTACCTAACGCCTTTAGGAACCTAAACTTACTCAACACCTCAATTTTCAGGGTAAAAGTTCCCTAGGCACCTATGTTTCTGCCTCTGGGTATGTGCACGGCTGTCTCACTCTTAAGTGTACAGATGCCTATCTCCCACCTAAGCCCCAGAGCGATTCAGAAACTTTGCAGAAGATAGGCATTCATCTACCTAAGTCATGTGTGGTGCGGTCATGGTAGGTGTGCTCAGAGGAGGTGGGGATTACCCCTCTTCTAGCTCAGTGGTTAGAGCACTCTTCTGGCATTTGGGAGACCTGGGGTTCAGTCCTCCCCTTGGGTGGGAAGGGAAGGTTTTGAGCAGGAGTCTATCAGGAAAATGTTCTGACCACTGAGCTATGGAATATTCCGATGTAGGGACTCCTCAGGTGTATCAATAATTAAAGAGTCATTGGAGTAGGGGGACTGAATGCTGGGTCCCTAACCACTGGGCTACAGAGTCATTGCCCTCTGTCTCTGGCCCAATGATTCTGTTCCACTGTGGATAAACAGTCACTGAGCCAGAGAGAGAGTAGTGGGCACCTCCTCCTCTGGCCATTTTGGATGGAGAAAGGCAGGGGCCTAACTCATTCCCAAAAGATGCCTTCAGTGCCTCAGAGTATGTCTACACAGCAAAGAAAACCCGTGGCTGGCCTGTGCCAGGTGACTCAGGCTAAGGGGCTGTTTCATTGCTGTGTAGACTTCCAGGCACAGGCTGGAGCCTAAGCTTTGGGACCCTCCCACCCCACAGGGTCCTAGAGCCCAGCAATTAAACAGCCCTGCAGCCCGAGTCCCTGAGTCCACGACAGCACCTGCGGACCAGACTTAGGAGAGAGAGGGGTAAGGCTTAGGACACACCTCTCTCCTTGTCATCTCCTATCAGCTAGCTTAGACGTCTCCCTGCCTAGCCTACTGACTTTTGTGGATTTAATTCTTAGGAGCCTCTCTCTCCCTATTAATTGTACGAGAGCCTAGGCACCTAGCTCAGGCTTTGTGGATCATAGTAGTATTCCTGCAATTTTCCAGGCATCAACAAGTTAGGCACCGTGATGCCCAGAGTTACATCGCCCTTGTAACATCGTTACAAGTCCCTTTGTGGGTCTGGTATTAGAATGAAAATTGGAGGTTAAGCCTCCAAAGTGACCAGTGTCTCCCATAAAATACTTAATCCCAGAGAATTCAATGAAAGCTGAAGTTGTTCAGCACTTTGCAAGGCTGTGTCCTTAATTAGACTTATGCATGAGTTGGGTTCTCAGGGATTGTTTGTACTGGGTTTACTGGTTTATGCAATTGTAATTGTGATATAGATCTCTTTTACTATTTATTAATATCATGTATTTGCATATTCTTATTTGTCAAAACAATTGGCATATTCAATACATTTAAATTTTTTGAACCTTTGTATCATCAAATAAGTAGCTCTTTCATGGAGACTATTTGTGTCTTTTTTGTTTTGTTATTTTCAATCTATGAAAAGTCTTTTTAACACATCCTAGCTACCATGTTAATATCCCGCTGTGCCACACCATAAATTTATTTTGAGCAGCTAAGATGTGTTTAAAAAAAAAAAACGGTTACTCACCTTCTCATAACTGTTGTTCTTCGAGATGTGTTGTTCACAACCATTCCAATCAGGTGTGTGTGCGCGCCGCATGCACGGTCATCAGAAACTTTTTCCCTTAGCAGCTCCCGTCGGGTTGGCTCGAGAGCCCCCTGGAGTGGCGCCTTCATGGCGCTCAATATAGGACTCTGCTGACCCGACCCCCCTTCAGTTCCTTCTTGCCACCTACTCCGACAGAGGGGAAGGTGGGTGGGTATTGGAATGGATGTGAACAACACATCTCGAAGAACAATGGTTACAAGAAGGTGAGTAACCGTTTCATTCACTGCCGTGACCACCAGGGAGCAAGGGTGTGGGTGAGAGAATAAGTACTCGTATCCCTGAGATGGGACAAAGTACTTCCTCTCTATGCCCCCGGCGGTGGGCGGAATGGAGGCTGGAGTCTGCCACAGGGTTTTATTATTATTTTGTATGGTCATTATTCATGGTAATGCCACCCGGGAAGGACCTTCTGGCGCAAGAATATCTACCATTGAGTTCTCTGTTTCAGCCACTTCCTCCGTCTGAAGGCCTATTTTGCGGGCAATGCGGGGGAGCAAGTCTTGGTGCGCCCTGTGGTCGATGGGCGGGGGTCTTGAAACTGAGCTCCTGCCACCACCTCCTCAGGCAAGGACGATGATGTGGCAAGTGAAGGTACAGGGTCTTCACAGCCCTCTAGCTGCCCCAAATGTGGGATACATGGCAAATTGTCACCTCTACTCTTGCGAGCAGAAGACATTCAGATCAGGCCATACTCTGACAGGGAGAGAGGCCAGGTCCATAGTATCATCTCCTTTTCTCTTAACCTTGCAGAAGCCCCTGTATGCTCTCTAGTAATTGGACTCTGCGGGTTGGGGCTGAGGGCACAGCCATTTTCTGTCCTATCATTCCTTTCCCAGTTTCTGTGTGGAATCACTAAGTAAGACCATGCAGCAAGTTTTACTCACTGACCCCTTTGCTGAGTAAAGCCCCTGAGTGGGGGGACAAGGAGCAGCAGACAGGAAAAGAACCCACGCAGGAGCCATGGTTACAAGGGTGTCAGGAAGCTTTGCAAAGCAGTTCTCAGATAATTTGTTTGCTTACGGTGGTCAAGGCCCATGCACTGCCACAAGAGAGTATACTCACTCCCCCAACAAAACAATGCAATGGACATTCTGGGACTCAAAGCGTTTCTTGTCCTCTATAGAGGTTTATTTCCACCCCAATAATCTTCTCAGAGGATGCATCAGACCTTAAATGGATACTTCATTATTGGGGCTTATATGTATAAAGTACATGTTGCTCTCAAAACATCTCATTTCAAGAGTAAAAAGAAGCTGCACGTTTTATGGAGCTAATCTTGTGATGTAAGTGTTTAAGTATTACCATTAAATGCTGACAAGTGATCTGTATTTCACTCTAGGCTGATATCACTGAGTAACAAATCCTTTCAAGATGAGGTAGCTAGCTCAGATCCAGAGGGAAGGGAGTGCCTTTTCTCGCCCAACAGCTCACTTGTTGGATGGCAGCTGCACTGACAGGCTCAGAAGGGAGTTCCATCCAGTCATCCTCAGCCAGAAGGTTAGTGATTGAGACATGGAGTCTCAAGGGTGGGCAGGAACGTGTAAAGAAAGGAAGAACTGAAGCATCTTTCGGGCTCCAACAGAGATGTGGAAGAGCCATTGGGGAGATAAAATAATTTAATAGTTGATATTATCATTGGTTAGTAAAAGTTTTTGAATAAATGTGTAGAGATACAAAAACTGCTGTTCTATGGCTGCATACCACAGAAATTTGATTCTTGAATTTCCCATTCTGCAGAAAGAAAAGGCTTTACATTTACAGAGGTTTCTCAAGGGATTGAGTGTGTTTTACTGGAAAACGTAAACACGTCTATAACCAAATAGTGTTTGTTTTCAGAAAAGGAAATGTGTAGCTAAATTCTTAGAGGTGATGTCCTTTCCATCTTTAGAGACAGAAGAGGATGCTGGAAATGTGTTCCTCAGAATTTGGTATGTGTTCAACAAAGAGAAACACCACTGGAATTAACACAAAGATTATAATCTCAAGTCTTCCTACAAAAGGTTTAGTCACACCATTCCTTTAAATAATTATGAGAGAGCTGGCTGGTATTATACCACATTCTTTACTGGCATATGCAGTGATTTGTTGGAAGCAAAGGTTTCCATCATGATAGTGTTAAGGCTTGGTGGGGAAATAGAAGGTTATAATGGTATTTTCTAAGGCAAAGATTTGTTTGTAACAAGTGTTCTTCAAATTTGCTACTTTCGATTTCCTGCTGTTAGTGTCTCTTTCTCTGAGCCTGGTTCTTCTCTCACATACGCTGGTGTAAATAAGGAGCAACTCCACTGGAGTCAATGGAGTTAAAATTAGCATAGGTAGTAAGCGCAGTGCAGCCCCAGTCTCTGTGTTTTCCTTTTCCTCTATGGCATGCTGTTTGTGGAATTTGCAACTGCAGCGAACAGACTACTTATTTTTTCTACCTAGTGATACAGTTCTGAGCGTAAAAGGTAATAC